TTTTGAGCTAAACGAACATTCCGCCGCATATGTCACGATTTCAATTCTCATTCCAGCCCATTTGATCTAACAGACTCACTCTTTACCATTAAAAAAATTATTTTATCTACTCTTAACAAGTAGCATTTAAAAATTATAAACTTTAATATTAATTCTTAATTTTGGCTGTTGAAATTTTTATTCTGTAGCTGAGCAGCTTAAGATCGCAACGCTTAAACCTCTCTTGTTTTTTATGACTCGGCTAATTCCGCTCGTTCGCGGATTGCGCCCCTCGCGTCGGTTGGGCGGGAGAAAGTTAAAAGTTGGATATTAATATTTAAAAAAGTCGCTGTTGATGGTACTTTCTTCTTCAAATTACATAACCTTGGCAGCCGACTATTGCGCTTAGGGGCGGGTCCATACCGTGCAGTCCACTCGGATGACTGCTGATCGGACTTCGGAGTGAACTGATGATGCCATGGTTTATCCATTGTCAATATCACAGACTTGGTTTTATTTCGCTTGGGCATCTCCAAACGCTACTCCGAATCATCAACCCGCCATTGATTTTGGTCAAAAGTGAGCCCGGGAAGCACGTACTTTGCACAGACCCTACTCATATACAAATATTCGTGAATAATATTATCTACACGTTCAGTTGACACCTTTTATGTTACCTTAAACACGAGTGCATCAAACTTATTCTAACGGATGATTCGTAAGGGAGTGCATGGAGACCGCAATCGTCAAAATATGGTTCCAAGCGTGCCAAGTCTAAGCTCTAAGTTCAGAGCTGGTGAAATGCTTTTTTTGAAATACAATAACACTATATACTATACAATCTTCGCAATGGAATGAGATCAGATATTACAAACTTGTTAAAGGTATACTTCAAAGGTTGACAGCCCGAGGATGAAAATACTCCTCAACTCACTTCATTCATTTTACTCATATTTTTGTTTTGGAAACTTTTTTATCTAACAAGGTATCGCCACGAAACTTGACATGGATTTTTGTCAAAGATATGGCTAATATCTTCATACAATTGTTCAGATCGGACCACTATAGCATATAGATGCTCTACAAACCAACCGATCAAAATGTATTTACACTTTTAAAGAAAAAATATAGAAATTCCAATTTTAAAGCGGAGTGTAATCAATAGATGACGTTGGAGCAGACGTTCAACTGCCCGACCATGAAGCAATTCGAATAGCAATTACCCGTCTTAAGAACAACAAAGCAGCGGGGGCCGATGGATTACCGGCCGAGCTATTCAAACACGGCGGCGAAGAACTGATAAGGAGCTTTGTAGAATTTCTTTGTAGAATATGTTCGGATGAAAATATTTCTTACAATTGGAATTTAAGTGTGATCTGCCCAATCCACACAAAGAGAGACCCCACAATCTGCGCCAACTGCCGTGGGATTAACCTCCTCCACAGTCAACAAACTGATTGGGCCTTATCAGTGTGGTTTTACACCTGGCAGCCGATCAGATATTCACGATGCGCCAAATTTTGGAAAATACCCGTGAAAACAGGTATCGACACACAAGACCTCTTCGTCGATTTCAAAGCTGCTTTCGACAGCACGAAAAGGAGTTGCCTTCAAGCCGCGATGTCTGAATTTGGTATCCCTGCAAAACTAATACAGCTGTGTAAACTGAAGCTGAGTAGTAGCAAAAGCTGAGTGAGGATAGAGAAGGAGCTCTCCGAGCCATTCGATACCAAACGAGATTTCAGACAAGGCGACTTCTTCAACCTGCTGCTGGAGAAAATAGTTCGAGCTGCAAAACTTAATCGAGCAGGGACAATCTTTCATAAGAGTGTACAGCTGCTGGCGTCAACACCAGCCATTGACGGTTACGTTCTCACCGGCCTCACACACCATACCGCACCGTCCTTTTCTCTTTTGGCACCAGCTGCTAAATTTTCTTCACTGCGTGCTCTACGTGGTTTTTCCGGTAGAGTGATGAACAAAAATATCATAATAGCTTGACACAACTCCCACGTGATGTGTCAAAAAGACTGTAGAAAAAGTACCTCTATTGGATCACCCATTAGTATACAAATAATTTATTTAAAAATTAACTAATCCTTAAATTCACATTCACATTGTAGAATATTGCACTTAACTTATGCACTTTCTGACATGTAAATAAAAGCAAACTGAATTTCGTAGGTAGGTGCATGTGCATACGCAACTGGCTTCATATAGGTAACATTTTAAAGTCGGCACACAACTCCCTCAATGCCCCGTAAATCAACTCAATGACGGTTTTTGTTTTATATATATGTATGTGCTTAAAGGTGCCTCAGCTTAATGCCGACCAATTTTGGTGTTATTTATTGCCTGAAATCACTGCCAGTTGCAATTTGGTAAAGTGAAACAGTTAGTTGCCAACAGCATTAAGCAGTCACTTAAGTACTTAAATCATTTTCAATGTTTGCGTCGACATTCTGCGTCATACATACTATACATTTACGTAGGTGGCACGAGCTAGAGCACCGACAATGCCGCCAATTAGTGAGTGGTATGCCTTACCTGAAATGTAATTACCGAAAATATTTGTGGAAGTTATCGAAACAAGTGCGAGAGAGCGTTCAAGTGGCAAAACTTGGCAGCACTGGTTGTAAGCGTATGTCGGTACTTCAAAGTATTACGACTAGTGGCACATAACAGTGGGTGAAATAAATATGCAACCTAACTATAAATGGCTACAAAGATAAAGGTTTAGCTGTTTGTAGGTGGAAGCGCTGCATTAGAAATACCGTATTCATAACCTAAATCCGCAAAAATCGCGTGATGCATAAAACCACTTTAACGGTATTCCACAACATGCCGTGAAAAACGATGAAAAAAAAACAAAAACATAAAATAATAACAACAAAAAGCAAGCAACTCATTTTAAATCATTAAAACTAACACATGCCACAGCTGGTCGGCAAGAGATAAACACCGTTGGTACTAGCTGGAGTTTTGCTTCCTTTTATCCATACTGTGCCCAAAAAATATGGTGACATTGTATTTGTTTTGAAAATTCGTTATTTATTCTTCCAAATCAATTTCATCCCCTTCAAAGTAATCCCCTCCCGATGCAATGCTCTTATGGCAACGGATTTTTTAATCTTCGAAACACTGGTTGTACGCTGCGGCTTGAATCTCCTCTATCGTATAAAAACGGTGTCCCCGAAGCGGTCTTTTGAGCTTGATGAACAGCCAGAAGTCGCACGGCGCCAGATCAGGTGAATACGGTGGTTGTGGAACGATATGGGTTGAGTTTTTGGCGAAATCATCACGAATTACGAGGGCAGTATGGGATATTGCATTATCGCTTTGTAAAATCCAAGAATTGTCTTTAGCGGCTAGCGCTAGGCAAACGACGCATAACGTTCAAATAATATTCCTCGTTGATTGTTTGACCAGTTGGAAGGAATTCATAGTGCACAACACCACGATAAACGAAGAAAAAAGTCAACATGACCTTGATTTTTGAGCGACTTTGGTGCGATTTTTTTGGTCTCGGCTCTCTTTTGGCATGATATTCGCTCGAATGATCGGTTGTTTCGGGGTCGTAAGAATAGATCCAAGTCTCTTCGCCAGTTATAAAGCGTTTCATGACACCCTGGTAGTCGGAAAGCATCATTTCATACACCTCAATGCGACGCCTTTTTTCCAAAAAATTCAATGTTTTCGGTACCAGTCGAGATTTGACCCACGTGAGGCCTAAATCATCCTTCTAAATGGTATTGGCTGAGCCTTTCGATATGTCAACTTCATCAGCAAGGTCTCTAATTGTTTATCGACAGTTTTTCAACACCAAATCTTTGATTTGTTGAACGTGAGCTTCGTCGGTTGAGGTTGATGGTCGCCCTGGACACTCTTCGTCTTCGACACGTTCACGGCCGGCTTGGAACTCACTATACCACATGTAAACATTTTAGACACAGCCTCATCACCATACTCAACGCATCCGTAGCAGAAAATTGATTCCGTAAACAAAATTTAATGCAAATTCTTTGCTCAACAAATTTCGACATCGCAAAAACCGAAAACTCACTTTTAGCAGCTCACAAAACGACACGTATCTCAAACACTAATGAATATTTTGACATRAAATTTGACATAAATGTGACTGACAGTACTACCAACCTACAAAAAAAAATAATTCTCCAAATACTTCGACGCGCGCAGTTGAAATTCAAATGTCACAGTATATATGTAGTGCTATGGCGCAATGGCGCAAGGACGGCGGGATTAACAACAAACGCCATAGTTGTCAGTGAATGCATGAATGATTTCATACGCKGTGCTGCTTCRTTTCACTTTTGTTCATTTCCGCTGGCCTGCTTTTAGGCGCACCAAATAATAATCGCCAGTTTTCGATTGGCGCTTGTGTAGCTTTGAAGGCCGACAGTGACGGCASGGAACTGCGTATGTACATATGTGTGTATAGTTGATTTTTAAACAGGCAATGCAAGACAATTAGAAATAAAARAACTTTCAGATGGATAAGTTAACGAACTTATGCATAAAAGATATTTTTGGTATTAAGTGTCTTAATTCGAATTCTTTACAACTTGTCAGTCTCTCAAGGTTTTCAAAAAAACACATTTTTACCAGTGATGAGTATTTTATAATTTATTTAAAGTCATAGCTCCGCTATAGTGGCAGTAGTTGAAACTTTAGCTGGCAAGGATATTGCATGGCTCAGACATCGTACGATGAATATTCACTCCTGTGGGCAAAAATAGACAATTCGTAATTGCCCAACCGCAGCTCTTGAATTCGTGCCGAAGATTAAACTGCTGCATCTAATTATCAAACATACAGCACGTAGATGTTTACCAACCTAGAAAAAACATTGAAGTATAAGTGATCAGCCAGACAATCTAATATTAACAGTTTTTCTTGTTGTTAACTTTTTTCAAAAAAAAAAATATTTTTTGTTTACTCATGAGGCCTGCCCTCCTTAAACAACCCATTCTTAATCAGTTACATRCTTTTTTCATTTGCAGAGCGAAAGTGCTGGAGTGCTCCGCCAAGGAGGATCAAAACGTGACTGACCTCTTCAAAACGTTGTTGTCACTATCGCGATTTCTACCCGTCGGGAGCAATAATGATGGCACAAGTGGTCTCAAGCGACGCTCTTCGGCATATGTTAGCGCATCGTCAAGTAGAAGTAAGTACTCTCACTCATAGCCTTATCTAAACAGCACAAACAAACTGAGCGTGCTTAGCAAAAGACAGACGAACAGCACCAGCGGAGATAGTAGTGGTAATGGGAAAAGAAGAAGGCTGCAAAAGACACAAGATGAAAATCAAGCGAAGATTAGTAAAATTAAATTGGCGACCTAGATAGCCTCAATGCTACCGTTGTTAATTTTCAGTTAGTACGACGGACCAGTAGCAACAAGCAACCACTTAATTGCAACCATGAGCTTTCGTTTCTTAATAAATTATGCTTCTTCTTATATTCAGCGGGTCACCTTACTCTCCGCGTGGAAATATGGAGGCGGTTTTCTTCATTCTTATGCTTTGTGCCGTTTCTTTCAATTACTGATTTTTTTTTAACTTTTGCTGCTTCTTGCAAATTAAATTACATCTTCACCACTATTTTCATCAAGAATTTTTTTTTAATCCGACTAAAGGCATCGAACTCAATAGAAGGTCGGTAGAATAGGTCGATGATATCAATCTTATAAAAGATTGTACCTAATCGATTAAGCTCTGCAGCTCGAATTATTTTCTCCAGCAGCAGGCCGAGGAAGTCACACTCCCTATCGTGTGACTTCCTCAACCTGCTGAAACCTCATTTGGTATCGAACGGCTCGGAGAAGTCGTTCCGATATTGACGTAGCTTTTGGTCATGCTCAACGTCAGTTCACACAACCGTATTAGTTTTGCAGGGATACCAAATTCGGACATCGCCGCATAAAATCAGCTCCTTTTCTTATTGTCAAAACAGCTTTAAAATCGACGAAGAGGTGATGTGTGTCGATCTTCTCTTCACGGGTATTTTCCAAAATGTGACGCATGGTCAATATCTGGTCGGTTTTTGATTTACCAGATCTAAAGTAACACTGATAAATTCAAATCAGTTTGCTGCTAGTAGGCTTTAACCTTTCACTTAATACGCTCGACAGAACCTTACATGCGATAGTAAGGAGGCTTATGCTATGGTAGTGGGCGCAGATCATGGAGTCTCCTTTTTTGGGTTTTGTAGGAGCACACTTAAATCATCCAATCATCAATCATTCTACAGAGAAAGTGATGAATGCTCCTTATCAATTCTTCGACGATCTGTTTGAATAATTCGTCCGGCAATCTTTCGACCCCCACCACTTTTTTGTTTCTCAGACGTGTAATATCTCTTCGAGCCTCTTTATGGTCGGCAGTAGACTGCTGTCAAATTTCGTGAACAATGAGTTGTTCAGTATAGCTTTTTTTATATTGYGAAAAATTGGATTCACTTCATAGTCCCCTTAGGGTTACCTTGTATTTTACAAATTTACTAATAATTTCGAAGAAGTTTTTACTATCCAAACCGTGTCAAGCAATCCTATCATAGCTCCCACAATATTCTCTAAATCCATCCTTTAGTTTATCTTAATCTTATAGCAGTTTTTGAGCATTGTCAACTTACAACTTTGAGTTCAAAAAGGTAAGMAGAGGCAATTGAAGKKCAAARTTAATAATTTYAATASCATAATGAAAGATTCGAGGATTATKAAGYGATACATTGACAAAGCATAGTACCGCAACTKGGCTTTTTATTAGACATGGTATTARACATGRTYRGTGRKRGAGTGAACGGAAAATACTGATATAAAAACCGCTCTCATTTATTAACATTTCTTCAAAAATTGACAAGACGCCTAGTCTCTCAGAAATGTAAATCCCCAAGATACATTAATTTGGCACCAAATTTCTAACACCCAGACGGAAACGTCGAATACCTTCTGAAATCTGTTGTAAATGATCAGAGTGTTGAGCTAGATCGATTCAACTATGTCCATTTATCGCTTCGTCCGTCTATGTATGTACGAACTAGTCCCCCAGTTTTTCAAACTATGATCATGTTCTTTTATCCCAAGAAGCTGGTTGAGGGAGTTTAGAAATCTAGAAATTAAACAGAAWGAAAAAGTACAGATAATTGCCGATCGCTTAGTTCATTGTCTATCTGTTCAACCCTGGAAGGAGTGCGGATAGTTCAATGAGCTCTAGTAGTGTTGTGTATTTGACTGTGTCCACTCACAGAGTGGCTTATGGTTAGAGCCAAGAACTAYCAGGGTATTTATGACGCTAAATGCAGTGGTGTTGCTTTCAGAAGCAACGCTTCTGGACTGATAGACTCAAGTGATGAGTGAATATTGGGAATAGCATACTGATGTATTCCTATGACTTTTACTCGTATGTCGRACCCAAGTATCTTCCCGACCAAGAACTGCCAATTTATCAGCATAAATCAAATCACTTATCGGCAATCTGAGTAAGCAATCGTGGATCGTACCGCCATAATAGACTTATTGGCTAACAAGTAAGAACAGATGACAGATGACGCTGTTATGCGCTCATTGGTTGTTGTTGGGGATTTTTAGTCAAGTAGTTCATGAAGGATAATAATTTTTTAACTGAAAGCAAATGAAAGTTATAATCAACGGTGAGCCATAGTTACCCTGCTTGATCACTTGTCCGAAGATGGTTTTGTACTTTTAGCACGTGCATTTAATTGAAATTATTATATTACTTACGCCCTCACCTTGAAAACGCATTCGAGCTGCACAGTTGAATAGAGATGGTACAATATTCTAAAAGAGTGTGCAACTGCAGGCGTAAGCCGATGATATCGAGATTATTGGCCGTAACAATATCTGCTTTCTCTAGGTTGTTCAAAGATGCGCAGCAAACAGTCGTCGCACTCGCAACATGGCATGCACTGTTGACAGTCATAACTTCGGAGTTGTAGTTAATTTCGTTTATCTTGRAACSAGCTCAAAATCCAATGCAGAATAACTATTGAAAACAGKTGCTACTTTRGAATGAGTAWTCAAYTGAAAAGTAAAGTATTCGCTGAACGAACAAAGACCAACTCGCCAAACAGTGAAAAGGTAAAACTACTGTCGGCTGCTAAGAAGAAGAAGAAGTAGATCGGGGAGAGAGGCCTTTTGTGAGATTTTTTTTTTTTCTGACTATGTTGGGTTAAGTTAGTTTATAAGGTCGATTCTAACAGGGGTCTCACTTGGGTTTGAACGCCAACGAACCGAAACAGTGCTTTGAGCCTATCAGAAGTTCATTGAGGTGGCTATTGTCACCTGGCTCGCTGTAGAAAACACTGCTAAGTTGTGGTGGAAACCCTCTTCCTCTAAAATACTTCGATTAACTTTGCTAAGGGTAAGCACTTCAGTTATCGCACAAGAGCGGGTCATCTATGACCAACTTGGCCGCACTCTATTGTGGTCGCAAGGGTGCCCCTTCCAGCCGCTCTGCTCAATGTTGAGTGCTGATCTTCTAAAAGAGACGTAGCACTATGTCTTTCTGTACCTTAATAGCAACCACTTTTTACRTATAAAGATAACAATTAAAAATTCGCCCAAAATATATAAAAAAGGAAAATTATGATATATATCGCGGCCGTAACCTGGAAGTTGATTTCGAAGAACAATGTGTCTTGAGTTCGAATCATAGAGATTTGAAAAGTAAGAGAAACGCGATCAAATGTCTAGTAAAGGCTAACAAGAAAYATTTTTTCTCGAAGTTACATGCAACATGTCTCAAAGTTGCTTCTAGACCTTATACAAAGTCATTAAAAACTAAGTAATTATATTTTGTTAGAAACCAGTTAGAATTCAGTAGTGCACTCTATGGTTTAGATGGTTCATACCGTTAATTTTAGAAATTATTCGAAATCTACTCGTATGAATGTTAATGATGAGTCCAATATTTTTGTAATCTATTCTCAAGATTAAAACCTTTTTTAGCCCTCAACTTTACTACTTGGTTAACCTAAACCACTTGTTTTTATAAAAAAAACTTCACGTCCAGATTTGTTTGGCGCCCAATAAAAGTATCGGCGTTCTACATAAATTGTTAACAAACTTATTGGCTATAAATTTTAAGTGCTGGTGAAAAATTAATTCGTGATTGAATTAAGCTTTATTAATTGCAATGATTTTTTCACTTGAGTATGAATATATACGGCTATGTACATACATAGGTATAACTGTTKCTGAGAGCTCTCGACTARGCATTACTTAAATCGATTTATTAAATGAAGTAAATGTGTTTGGTTATGGTAATGAAATWTTGAAGGTTCGAAAATTCCAATATCTAAAATTAAAGAACGACTAAGTTCAGGTATAAGTAAACATTTTAAACATTTTATACTCTTGCAACTTGCTTGGAATGCAAGCCGGCAAAAAAATGTTGGCAATATTAATTGGTTATATGGGTTTACGGCTTTCAAACAGTCGAATATTTTTATATTATCTTATTAAATTCTACAGCACCTTTAAAATGTTATCCTAAATTTTYAAACTGATCCAAGTGATAGTTTCGGAGATACAGCGTTGGCATCGCAATGGCCTAGTTGAAAATATTTTATTTCAAAAAATGCAAAATTCTTTGACAATATTATAAAAAAAACCTTTTATACCCGAGGAAACTCATATAACCCCTTACCTTACTTTTAAGGTCAAAAGCTCTCTTATTTATCTAAATCTAAATTTTTAAAAATTATACTTAAATCAACCTAATCTCTTCCAC